TGTATTTTCGTTGACAGTACAATTACCGTCAACCATAAAAATATTTTTATTCTTTTGGCTTTTTTTTTTTTGTTTGATTTGTTGACAAGTCAACGTAATTATATTCTTGTCGCTGACGGTAGAAATACTGTAAACACAATAATATTACTGTCAACCACATCAATATATTTTTTTTTTGACCTTTTTGATTTGTTTTCCAATTAACATAATAATATTATTATCTACTATTGTAATATTACTATCAACACAATAATATTACAGCGGTTGACGGTAATATTACTGTCGTTACGGTAATATTACTGTGGATGACAGTAATATTACTATCAACCATATCAATTGACGTAGAAGGGCATTTTTTGTCGAGCTAGTTTTTGTAAAACCCGATTCCCCGTCTGAGACTGGTGGATTGCGGCAGCGTGGTGGTGTTTGGTGTCCCCAACGTGGACGATGGTGGAGAGTAGTGGTGGTTTGGTGTCCCCGCCGTCGAAGATGGTGGGTGATGGTGTTAAAAATTAAATATTATTAAATTTAATTTTTATTTATATTTAATATTATTAAAAAAACTAATTATAAGTAGTATATCTTAAATTTCTAATTGTTTTTCAGACCTAACAAATTTTAAATTTCAATTTTGGCCACAAAAAGTATTTACCTTTATTTGCTAACGGACATGTCACGGCAGGGATCAAAACTGTTTAAATTTGAAACCTTGAAGGTAAACTTTGTTCATTTTTTAACAAGGAGAACCAAAAGAGGAATCGGATCAAACATGAGGGACCAAAAGTATAATTACTCCATTATTAGGGTATAGACTTGGTCAACCCCATGTCACATAAGCATGACGATTATTACTTTTCAATTTAAAAAAAGGAGCTCCGCCAACTTTTATGTATAAATAATATCTATAATTTAACATAATAAAAAATATAAATAAGCTAAAATAAAATGAATAGATATTACAATTTTAAATATATTTTAAATTTAGGTCATATCCACAAAATAAATCTAAATAAGTATTTTTATATTAATGTAAAGTAATATTTTTTAAGAATGTATTAAGTTTTAAGTGAAATTCTTATAGTAATATTTAACTTGTGCAAATATTATTTTTAAGCTATAACATTCGATATTCATTGTTTTGTTTAATTAAAACAAAATATTACATCCAATCTTAGAGATGTATTCCGTTAAAATTAATCACTTATACACCGAGGGGCTATGATAAAATGAATTATAGAGATGAACGATTTCAGATTGAAAATATATTAATTGAAACATGAAAGAGTAAAATGACTAAATATTAAAACAATGAACCATTAATGAGATTCGAGTTTACTGTAATTACTACCCCTGTGAAAATCGCAACTGCATATTTCCCCTTCTCATAAAAAAATAGCAAATGCCCCCTTGTATTTATTTTTAAATAGCTTAATCGACCCATTTCCCTTTTTTTCCTGTTGACTGGTTGTGAAAAGACAGAAATACTCTGGAGCGGTTTCTGCAAATAAACTTGGGGACCAAACTGAATTACTGAAAAATTATAGAAACTTAATCAAATAATAACTTAAGGGATTGAATTATAATTTTCAGGAAAATACATAATATTTATAAAAATGTGAGGCTGAAAACACTATTTTGGAGCCAAATTAAAATTTAAAATTATTTTGGAACTAAAAAATAATAAGATCTGTAAATTACTATTATAATTATTCGTTTAATAATATGAAGTACAAATATTAAAACATAAACAAAGAAAATTCTTATACAAATAAACATAAATCGGATTGAATTTAAATATAAATAATCCAAAAATTTGGATCAAATTGCAATTTTTAAAATTTCTTTAATAACCACCACCACGGGCAATCACCTCGTTAGGCCGCCGCATCCAACCATAGAGAAGAAAATGTCTTCCCCTAATTTCTTTTTCCTTCCACAACATGTCTCCTTCACTCTTCTTGTCGCAGACACCCGTCCACCACTAACTTCACCTCGCTGCCGCCTCCCATTCTACCGCCCACTTTCACCAGAATTTCCTCCTCTCCGCCGTCGCCTACGGCGGCGAGGAGCTGCAGAAATTGAGCTCCCGGTGAGCTTTGTAGGAACTCGGAAGTGAGTTTGCAGGTGATGGATTTGAGAAAAAATGACGAAGAGGAGAGTTGTTTGGTGCCCCACAAACCCGATTATGCCGTGATAGAGTGGTGTATATTGCGGCACGGAGTGGTGGCTGTTCGGTGTCCCCTGCCGTGGACGATGGTGGGGAACGGTGGTTGTTTTGTTTGAGAATATTAAATATTATTTAATTTCTTTTTTAATTTATTACTTATTAAAACAAAACGAAAAAAAAGAAGTTAGGGGCAATTTTATCATTCCTGCAACAAAAGGATCAAAAATTGCAGAAACCGCGCGTGAGACACACTATTTGCGATAATGGGGGTTTTCGCCTTTGACTAATAAATACAAAGAGGTATTTGCTAGAGTTTTTTATGACAGAGGGAAAATACACAGTTGCGTTTTTCACCGGGATATTCGGTTCTAAAAAGAAAAGCCTAATTATTAATGAGCTTTTAATTGAAGTTACCCGTAAAAAGAAATATTAGCTAGATCCCACTCGATTGAGCCACTTTAATGGCAAACTCAATAGAGTAAGCAAATCGACTCTCCAACTTCTATTTTGAAGACTCATGTAGAGATTCGATAGAATTTTAGAGTCTATAGAAGAAATATTTACAGTGAGGGGCTCAATAAATTTGAGTCTATGAATTATGTTACGAAATTTTTATATATATAATTTGATTAAGGCTTAAATTTTATTCATTATTAAGGTTTTAGATGATTAATTTTTATGGAAACAATGTTAATTTGTTTTTAATATAAACTTCGATCCAAAAGATTAAAAAAATCTGAAAAGATATGATATATTACTATGGCGGCAGCTGTGAGCGTGAGTTGCTAGGGTTAGCGGCGGCTGCGTTAACTGCTAGGGTTTGCGACGGCTAGGAGTTTTTGGTGACTAGGTTTGGTAGTAAAACATAGTACACCGTAATATACTATATTGCACTGTAGTATACCATGGTACACCACTACACTATAGTATACTACGGTACATCGTAACATACCATAGTGTATTACAGAAAAATTGAAAATATGTAAATTGAAATTTAAAATAAAATAAAAAAATAGCATGTTTTTTTTTTGTAATTCTCAATACTGTATTACAAAATAATTTTTTTCTTATGATAGTGTATAAAATGCTAAAACGAATAAAGAAAAAAAGGAAGATAAATGGATATTCTGAAGAGAAAAAATAAAGATTGAAATATAAAAATATTAAATGCATAATAAATAAAATGATAAATGATGTATGGAATTTACTTAATAAATATTTCGAATTTGTGAATGGAGGGACATTTTTGGAATGAATTTTATAAAGAATATGAAGCAAATATTTAGTTAGACTTGTCGTGTAGTTCAAATAAAATTTGTTATCAGGGAACCATATTCTAAGACCCAAAAAATACAAGCACAGTTATATGTTCAAATATATTAAACAAATAAATATTAATACAATGTTAAATTTAAAATAAACACCTCTCAATAAACTAAATAACCTAATCCCACCGCCACCCCCAACATTCACCAGCAGCGCACACGGCAGCGTGTTATATATATAGATGATGATTTCTTGCTGAATTCAGGTCTTTTGCAAACTTGTGTTACTCTGTATTAAAATTAATTAATACAGTAATATTACTGTATTAATTAATTTTATCGTCTTGGCCTGCATTTTTGCTATCTTCGACTGTAATATTACTGTCTCATGCAATAATATTACTTTTTGGGACAATAATATTACTAATATTACTGTTCGGGAAAATAATATTCATAATATTACTGTCTCAAACAGTAATATTACTGTCTAAGACAATAATTTAGCAGCTAAGACAGTAATATTAATTAAAATATTTTTTTCTAATAATACAAATTTTCAAAAAAAAAAAAAGTCAACGCCGGAGACCGGCGGTTGACCGCTGGAAAAAGAATTAAGAAAAAAAAGAGTCAATGCCGGAATCTGGCCGGGAAACAAAAATCAGAAAAAAATGATTTTCTAAAAAAAAATATTTTTCAAAAAATTATTAAAATGAGGGTTAATGTAATATTTTTGTTTAAATCCGGGGTCAAAGTGAATATTAAGGAAGTTAGAGTATAATTGATGGAATTGATAAAAATTATATTATGAAGGGTATTTTAGACTAAACGCGTGGGGATGAGTTTATTTGATAGAATGTTTTTTTTGTGGACCAATGTGCATTTAAGTCATTTGTCATGTCCATTTTTGTCATTTGCCCTATTATTTAAATAACCCCTTATATGTATAATATTAGCAGGTAAATTTCACTTTCCCCCTTGTACTTTGGCTCGATATCACTTTACCCCCTTCTACTTTTGATTCCATCGATTTGCCCCCCTATACTTGAAAAATTATCTCAATGTGGCACTCGTTGAAAAATTATCTCAATGTGGCACTCGTTGTTAGTTATCGGACATTTGACCTTAACACCGTTTGATTTAAGCTCTGAAATTACAAAATGCCACCTCTCCCACTTTAAATAATTGTTAAAAAAAAAATCAAGACAGCGAGAAAACATAGTCCACGACGTCAGCCACAATTTATTTTTTTATTTTTTTAAATTTTTTTCATAATAATTTAAACTGGGAGGAGTGGTTTTTTTGTAATTTTCAGGCTTAGATCAAACGGTGTTATGGTCAAATGTCTGCGGCTGATGGCCACATTGAGACAAATTTTCAAGTACATGGGGGCAAATCGATGCAATCGAGAGTAGAAGGGTGCAAGTTTATCATTGGTAATTGATCGGAATAGCTGCTGGTAATTATTCTGGTCTTGCTGCAATTTAAGATTAATCGATCAATGATTATATACAGATGATGATTTCTTGCTGAATTCAGGACTTTTGCAAACTTGTGTTAATCTGGCCGGTGAGAGTGATGAAGAGAGACGTGATTCATAGTTACGTCGTCGGCCAAGGTTTTGTGTTATATGTCCGATTGAAGGCCGAAGCCATGTAAGAAGAAACCAGCTACAGATAAATCAGGTTCCTAATAACATGTAAGAAGAACATCCGTTATTTGACATATTTATTTATTTTACTTTCAGTGTGTATAAATGTTGATATTATTTTGATTGAGCATGTTAATACTTAATACCGACAGGCGACAAAGAACTCGTTCACTAATCAACTAATATTCGAAAACTAATTAATCACTAGTTGCATTTATTTATACATGTAGTCAGAGTACTAACATAGCTTTAAAAACAGATCGATCGCTAAAGAAGATTAAATGATTCAGTATTTTCTTCTTTATCATTTTGGAGCATGCTGATAAATACTCCCTTGCTGATTTGGTTGCTGATTTGGTTGCTGAACTTGTGATAATCGTTCCTGGAAACATTCTTCTTCTTCTTTCGTCATTAATAGTGCATTAATGTCTATTATAAAACCTTCTTCTTCCATCGACATTAATAGTTGATTAATGTCTACAAAATCGTCGTCCAACCACTCTTCTTCCTTGTCGTCCTTGCAATTATCCATTACGTTTGCGTTTGCGTTTGCGTTTGAATTTGCGGCCGCATTAATATTATTATTATTAATCCCATAATAATATTGATCATTCAAATTATCATGTGCTTCAACAACTTCACGAACTCGGTCTGATGCAACAACTTCATCTTCCTCTCCTCGATTTTCTCGTACCGCAACTTGTTCTTCTTCTTCTTGTCGATTTTCTCGTACCGCAACTTGTTCTTGTTGTTGTTGATTTTCTAGGAGATTAGCCCGCCGTTTATTAGCACTGCTTGATTTCGAAACATTCTTATGAATACGGCAAATAACCCAGTCATCCAACTGCAAAACGATAACAAAATACATACAGTTAGTTAGTAATCAACAACTTATAATTATTAATTATTACAAAAAATATTATTAATTAAGGGATCGATCGCATCATCTTCGTCTAATTAATAAATAAATTAAATAATTAGATATTATATATATATATACCTTCATGTTGTCGTCGGCATCTCTTTTATTCCGGGAAGGATGAATCGCTGTATATTCATGCATGATCCAATCGGTCTTAATCCCGTCTTTTGAAGATATTCCTTCGTGAAAAACCAAAGTCATCTTGTGTCCTATAATTTTATTATTAAATTTAATATCCTTGTCGGCGCAACTAGCTTTCCAAAATCCGTTGCCGGCAGTTCGATTAGGCCGCGATCCCTTGGCATACTTTCGAATCCTCGGGGTGAAAAAATACCATTCCTTGTCTCCAACTGGAGGATATTCGCCTGTATATATTTTCAAGAACTCAAGATCAATATGCATGTAAGAGTTTAAGATGAAAATAAGCATGAAATAAAAAATCAGATCCATAAAAAAAGAATACAAAACAAAAACCTAATTAATCAAGAAAAGTTGACAACTTAATTAATTAAAAATAATCAAGAAACCTTAATACAATTAAGATGAAAATAATCGTAAAACCTAAAAATCATAATCCATAAAAGAACACATACACAAGATCATTCATGCGTGAACTTAAAAAAAAATAAAAAAAAATAACGTACGTGACAAATAATCGGGACCATGATCGGAAAAGTTGACGACTTGAATAACGTCGGCTGCTAAAGGCCGATTGTCGATCTTCTTTAGTAAGTAGTCAAAGATGAGTTCTTCATCCGTCGGCATGAAACGGTAACCTGGCGGATACTTCGACTCCATTGCTATAATCACAGATTAAATTCTCCTCTAGTAAGTCTTTTTTCTTTCTTGCTTTTGAATTAATAATGCATGCAGCATCTCTATGGGGCATTTATAATATTCTCAAATTCACTTCACAATTTGAATTCAATTGGACTCTATGATCTCTATCATACCAAGTTTCCGCCACCTTTCTCTCTTTTTTTTTTTTTTTTTTTTTTTTTTTTGGATTTATTATATACGTTAATAAAATTGAATGTTAATTTTAGTTCTAATGGACTCTTTCTTCTATCACACCACATCTCTCCGCCACCTTTCTCCCTTTCTTTAATTTTTTTTTTCTTTACGTTTTTTTTAATTTTTTTTTTCTTTTTTCTTCAAATAATTTTTTTTCTTATAATAAATAAATTTAAAATTATTGATCATATTTAATTTTTTTTTTATGTAATTCATAATTTTCACGATAGTTTGATCATCATATATATAATAAATGGTCTATTACAAATATGTCCATAATGAGGTACTTATTCTTAAAGGGGTCCATAAAACAATTTTTTTTTTACAAAAAAAGGTCATCTATAGACATCTGTATGAATTGTTTTTAAATTTTTTCGGTCATAGTCATCTATATATAGACACCCGTAGGAAACCGCAGTCACCCACAATATGTATATATATATTGATACTATTTTGAGTGAGGATGCTAGTAGGCGCCGGAGTATGTTGATCAGTTGTGTTTCTTGTTGAAGGCCGGTGTCGAGAAAATTCCTACACCATCTCACGAGATCCTCGCCATGTATAATCTTGTTCCAGTGGTACCAGGCTGCCCAAATGAATGACTACTAAGGCGAGCAAGACTGTGTTCGTCAAAAGAGCATTCTAATTAAGATACTTAAACCATCTCCACGTGAAAGAAAAAAATATTTGGAGCCATTATTAAGTTCAAAAACACTATTTGACCCGACCATCTCCATGCCATTACAGATCCAATAAGGCTTTTAGGATGTTGCAGACTTGCAGTGTTTCAAAATTTTCTCCGAATCCGACGGATTTGGGATTTGGGTGACGGTGAGGGGAGAATGAGATGAAGTTGAAGTATGTCTCCCAACAAACCGTTTTGGAAAGAAGAAATTAGTGTTTTTAAAAAACATTTGAAAATTGCAATTTGATTCAAATGATGTATGTCTATTTGCAAAAGAATCCCAAAGGACATTAGGACTTTTCATGTATAAAAAACGGGATAATTACAGTTTCGATCCCTATAATTATTACAAACATTCACCGTAAGTTTGTTATACCCCGATAGTAAATGTAGTTCGTTTCTTGTGTCCGTTGCTCGTAGTAGTGACGCCTTTTGAATGTAGTACAACAATGTTACTTATTAAGATATATTTACTTATATTAAGTAAAATTATGTATGATTAAACTTCCATTTATGACCGTTATGAAGTGGGTTCAATTCCGTTCCGGGGGTTATTGAGGAGCTCCGACCACGTCACAAAAGAAAAACGTCGTTCCAGCGATGTTCCGACAAATATTGATGCACAATGGAACATTGGCTCGTTGGTACTGACTGAAGAGTGTTAGCTTCTCACAATCTACAGAAGCCCAAAAAATGTTGGTTCCGCAATAAAACAGTTCTTTGAGATGTGAGTTTGCGAGAAACAAAAGAAGTACAAAGTAAGAAGGAAAAACAAACTTTTGACAAAGGAGAAAACATGAGAAAAAAAAAAAAAGAAAAAAAAATAGATGATATATAACAAAATGAAGAAAAGAAGAAGAGAGAAGATGGAAGTGAAATTATTTTGAATGGGACTAACCGTAAGTTATAGG